TCCTGTTCTTTTTGCAGATACAGACTAACACGGCTGCTACTCTGAAACCTGACCTAATACTGTTATACTCAATTGTACAGAAACTGAACTTTAGGAAATAGTCTTGTAGAACTTGCAAAGAGGAGTCGACTGAAAATCTGAACATACAGTGAGGAAAAGCATGCTGGGAAGAAAGATGGAAATCTACTCATTTCTAAAACTTTTTGTGCTACTACCAGAAAAAATACGATCTTAACCAAAATATTTCACAGATTCAATGCTCAAATTAAACATATAGAAATTAGTTGGTATTGTTAGGATAATAACCTCAGATTCTCTACAAAGTATGGTCCTGAACTGACAATCATAGTATTACCATATTGCTAATCATTTTGCTTTGAGTCACTACTCTCTCTCAGTGAAAATAACCAGAGAACTACTGTAACAGTGAGGGAAATACCACACTAACTTTAAAATTCTCAAGTGTTTCCTTTATTTAGCACTTTTTGAGTGGAACTTATTACTCTCCTTTCCCCCAAATGTAATGTGCCCTACTAGGGCAAAAAAGTCAATTTGTAAACCCACCTCTGCCTCTAAAAACTGTTCTGCTGCTGCCGTGGCTGACAGACAGCTCCCCACTCAGCAACTGGCTAAATATAGTTTCTCAATTATTATATTTATGGTTTGTATTGCAGTAGCAGCTAGGATCCTCGTCTATAATTGGGGCCCCTATCTATTAGCACAGTGACTGATCCAGCTCCCGCTGAAGCCAGTGGAAAGGCTCCTATCGATTTCAATGGGATATGGATAAGGCCCTTAATGAAGCACTGTCTGGAATATATTTTTCTTCCAGTGTTATAACATTCAGAGAATTATACCAATAAATAGTAATATCTAGTAAAATTGTCAGAACTAGTTCGAAGGTAGTTACCATTATCATTTACAATAATGAGATGCAGTAGCTAGCAGGAAGGGTTGTAAGAGGCAATACCTTTAGGAAGGTCTTTCTCTACCAGCTCTGGTACTTGCGGGGTGTCAACTTTCTCCTCTGGAATAAAACAATTTGGCAAGGGAGCCAAGAGGAAAACTGCACTAAGTGAAATTCTCTTCTCTACAGGTTCTTACACCACACTCATCACAGAAGTATCCGAGCACCTTCCAGCAATGCATTAAGCAGCACGATGCACCTCTGTCAATTGTTTGTTCTCTCGGCCTATCCCCAGAAGTGTGAGCAGGGGTGTGTTTGCTTTTGGATTTTTAAAAAGAAATATATATTAGAGAGCGCAAGGCCAATGAAAGACACCTTGCACTTTGGCCAGAAGTTGGTGAGGTTTGTGATGGTCCTTAGTTCCTGGGGGGGTTAATTGCACAGTCGTGGGTCAGCCCCTAAAAAAGCTCTGTTCCAGTTTAATTACATCTGTCACTGAATAGAAAAATAAGGTCACTCTCTGCTTCCATTGACAAAGAAATGAGACGGGGAGTTCTTTTACTCTGAAGATTACACATTTTTTCTAGGTTATC